GGAATGTGAATGTCTTTATCTTTGAGGGCAAGAAGTAAAGGTTTTGGAAACTTCATTTCCTTCAAAAAAAGCACATGGAGATTTCAATCAGATTAAGAACTCAATTATTTTAAGAAGGAGGCTTAGAAAGAGATAAAAAGAAGGAGAAAGAAGAAATCGCATACACAGAAAAAGAAGTTCTTAACCGTATAAAATCTAGAAACGAACCAAGAAACTTCCTATAGGTGGAGGACATTCCAATCCATCCACTGTGATTCCTCTTCTTTTTCTGAATGCGTCGAAATCCTCCTCAGTTTGATTTCGTATATGAGATGGTGGTCGCCAACTAAAGAGAAACTAAACTAATTTGCTGAGAGAGATTTGTTCAAGATTTGCAGCACTCACGATGTCTTGAATGATTCAGTATACTGCACTCCTTGAGCAATTTCAACAGCTGCATGCAAAGCACTATTCTGGGTAACACTTTCCAAAAGGCTCTCTTCTTCTAATCTTTGCTTTTCTTTTGGATCCAAGCCTAAAAAAAATGAATTTCGAAGAAAGTCAGAAAGAAAAATGAAATAAGCCATGAACGAGTTGATGTCGAAATCTGAATTTTTACAGAAAATTTAAAGAGAAGTTTCACGGTGAACGGTTATAGTAAGAGATTACTTTTCTGCAGTTTATAGCGAGAGTGATGGACTATACAAAAGCGAAGAAAATTGAGTAGGCTTACTCGCGTCATGTTCCTTCAACTCTGCATGTTTTTCTAACAGTGTTTTCTTAGACTCTTCGGTTTTCTTCTCTTCTTCCTGCCTTCGTCTCTTCGCCAACATTTCCTCCTCTTGTTGAGCCGATGAAGGAGCGAGGACATGTTTAAGCAAGGCTCGGCGATGCATCTGGAGATAATTCCCTTATGGCAACAACACTCAAAAGGTGGAGCTTTAATCGTTGGGAAAATATTGCTAATTTTCTTTCCATATTTTCTTCAAAGATGTCCATACAACCTTTGCTTTCGAAATTAAAATTAGCCTTTACAACTGCTGATAGAGCCAGAAACACAACGAAGAGATCAAAAGAATAATTAAGTTAATTCTCCAATTTCTAATACGTAGTAAAGGGGAACTTGTCCTAGATAACTCACTTTTTCCTTCCTTCTTTGAGCTGCTGACAGGAACATTTCATCTGATATATCATCTTCGTCGGAAGAAAAATTCATTCCCTCTTTCTTTCGATTCTGTTCCTCTTCCAAAATCTGTTTCCTTCTTTGCTAAAATATATGCCAATAGAGTTAGAATTTTCGTTATATATAAGAATTTACCTCATATTTACGTAGCATC